GCCTTCTGCAAGTTGTCTCTCTACAGCAGGGGAAAGAGAGATGCAGTTCTTACCCTAGAGAAGGTCACAGCCTATAGGCAGAAATGTGATAAAACTTGCTCTGATAAGTGTTCTGTCTCTCTGGACAGAGGGAGAGCAGGGTGTTTCCTGGAGAAGGCTACTCGGCTGCCCTGGCAGGTTCCCTCCAGGTAGTTTAATTACCCTGATCTTTACCCAAGAAGGCTGACTCATTAATAAAGCTGTATTGGTCTATAAAACCAGACACCAGTGTGTTAATTTATGATGAGAAATATGTCAGGTGCAGTAGACTGTCCTATTGGCCTTAACAGTGTGTTTTCTTCATGTAATCATCCCACTTGGGAAGCCTCATTGAAATCAAGAGGCAGCTCCACATATCAGAATGAGGGGAGTTAATTCTAAGGATGGAATGTTTACCAACATCCTTACCCCTACCACCGTGAGCCCGCCACAGCCTTCCACCCCACTTCAGTGGTTCCTGGTTCTGTTGCATCTTCAACTTGATATTTTCTCTGCCTCCAAATGGCACATTCTTTTTAGTTTAAAGGGTCACTCTGGTTTCCATTATATTCCAGGCCTTGGGACCCATTACTTTCTCTTTAAGATTACTTTGCTTATTGGCTATGTTGTGTCTATCCTACAGCTCGGGGCTTGCGTGGTGAGGGTGGGGAGAGGTTTCTCAACTCATTGTCTTCCCCAAATGTGCTAGTATCCGTAGGCTAGCCAGTTGTTTGTTCAAATCTGTGTGGTAGTGGTAACAGATACAGGCCCAAAGTTCCCCACGTGCTCAGTTATGGACAGCCTATCCGTAGAAGGGTGGTGGTAAAGCTTTTCTCGGGTTCTGACTGACTAAGAGGTATGTCAACATCAGGAAATCCTACAGGTAAAGGACAGAAGTCCCGTGAATGGAGACCTAGGGGGACTCTGGACGGCCTGTGACCGTCCACCGTCCGCGTTCATGCAGCGTCTGAGGATAGATTTCGGAGAGGTGGGGATGACCTTCGATTAGGTCATCGAGCCATCCTCTTTTATGCTTTGAAGATGAGAGCAGGGTTGTTTGGGAAGAGCAGATCGCCGCGACGCCCGCAGCGAACGCTTAGTTGGGTTCCACCAGGTCTCCGAGCCTCGGTTTCCCGAATACAAAATGGAAAGAGACAGCTCAGGCCTGCTCTCTGCGCATAAAGGCCTTTGACTTCGTTGTAAAATGACACTTCCACGAAGCAAAGGTTCCACTGACCAAGGCAAAGAAAACGCAAAGGAGAGGGGTGGGAGGAGAAAGGAGCGACAATGCACCCCTAACGCTGAGTTACGTCACTTGTGACGTAAAGCGCAAGACTCCAAGCGGTCGCCCGCGGTCGCCATAGCAACGGCGCAGGCTCAGTTCTGGCCTGGGGTTCTGGGAATTGTAGTTTTCCAATACTTGCTGTTGAGGAGCACCTGTCACCGACATCCTTGATCTGGTGCCGACACTAGGCTGTAAACACGGTCCAGTGGAGGGGTCGGCGTATCCACAGTTAACAATATCTATAACAGAAGCTTACAAGGCTGGTGAGACCTCAAGAAAGTCCTAGTAAATACCTGACGAATTCGAGAAGCTTTCATCAGAATACGGGGCAATAAACGGTCTGGCCAGATTAGGCATTTGCGTGGGAGACAGTGGGAAGGTGGCAGCGAGCGGGTGGGATCATTCCAGGCAGAAGAAACTGCTTCTACAAAGTCTGGAAGCATGAGAGCATTCTGGATGGCGGAGAACACGACGGGGTTGAGTAGGGGTTGGTCAGCAATGGGAATCTGAGGATTTAGAAATGGGAAGAAATCAAATCATGAAGCGTGTTGAATGCCAAACCAAGAATTTGGACCTTTTCTTGAATACACAGACAGCTCACACAGCCCAAGCAGTATGAATGACCCCCCTCCTTTGTGTTCTCCCTCATTTTTTTTGTTTGTTTGTTTGTTATTTGGGGGGTTTTTTTGATGAGGAAGGTTGGCCTTAAGCTAACATCCCTTGCCAATCTTCCTCTTTTTGCTGAGGAAGATTAGTTCTGAGCTAACATCTGTGCCCATCTTCCTCTGTTTTGTATGTAGGACACTGCCACAGCGTGGCTTGATGAGCTGTGCGTAGTTCCTCACCCGGGATCCGATGCTGCAAACCCTGGGCCACCAAAGCGAAGCACATGAACTTAACCACTGCGCCACTGGGCAGGCCCCTCATTTTTCTCTTTTATTACTTGTCACAGCATTCTGTGTCTTTGTCCCAAAAGGGACGTCCCAAGAAGGGCCATGGAAGTGTTTTTTGAATGATCAGATTTGAGTTTGTTTTTTTTTTTTTAATAATTTTATTTATTTTTTTTTCCCCCAAAGCCCCAGTAGATAGTTGTATGTCATAGCTGCACATCCTTCTAGTTGCTGTATGTGGGACGCGGCCTCAGCATGG